AGGGAATGATGCTTGTAATGTGAAATCTAGCAGACATTCATTTAAACTCTTCTTAATCATAGCTGCATTGATTCTTTCCAAATAAACTGATCCCTGGCTGTTCCAAGAAGAAAACAAAATGTAACTGTTATGGTGCAGGTTAGGACCAAGGAAGAACAACACGAACACAGGAGTAGAAATAACGAAGGTATATTACACGAAATAATAATACGAGATGTGGAAGGTGTTAGTATGACTGTCAGTCTGGTTTGGAGTGAACTACTATCGGCTCGACTCGATTCGACTCTCTCCCTTGAAAGGCGTAGTATACATAATGTTAGGAAGAGTTCATTCTGTAGTTATAGGTAAGGACCAATGACAGTAACAGCGATTGAACAAAATTTGGCCTTGTGGTGTTATCAGGTACCTGCATAAAAAAGGGCTTACTTCCCAAGGACATTCCTGATGACATAGTTGCTGCATTAGAGGATGACCATCCAACTTTATTAACAGTGCAAATTATGGGCAGCTGAATTTAGGAGGAGAAGGGAGAGTCATGAAGATGAAACAAGGTCTGGACGTCCTGGAACTATCACCACATGGAAAACATTGATCATGTTCAATACATCTTTATGAATGACAGGCGATTAACTATAAATCAAACAGCTAATGCTATTAGCATACACTTTGAGAAAGTTGATAATATTCTGCATAATGAATTTGATATGACGATGATAGCTGATCGGTGAGTTCAACGTCTTCTGACATCTCATCAAAACCGCACAGGCTGATCTAATACGGGAAAACCTGATATTGCTTGAGCGTATCCTAAGCCAGGATGGATGCTGGGTTCACCACTTTGAGTCAGAGACAAAGAGACAGCCCATGCAATAGAAATAATTCTACTCACTATTTCCAAAGAAGGCAAATGTCGTTTCATCTACAGAGATTGTGATGGGCTCCGTTTTCGGGGTTCAAAAGGGTTGCACCATCGATAGATTACGATGCATTGTTGCTGAAGCAGTTACGAAAGGCTATCAAGATCAAACGGCCAGGAAAAGAGACAGAAGTAGCCTTGTTTCATCATGACAATGTCCCAGCCTATAAGTACCTAGATTCAATGGCTGCTGTGAGAGACTGTTGCTTTTAACTGGTTGATCAGTATTGTAGTGATGCTGGGATGTCAGATGACAGATGTCTGTTCATTTATGGGATAATATGATATATAAAATCTAACAGAATAATGTTGATTTTCTAATCTTTGCTTAGATATGGCTCAAGGCCGAAAGTATGGGACACTCAGTGAGGATCAAACTGACTACACAGTTGTAAATGAGTTAGCGAGGCAATCTTCATAACCATTACACCATGTCGAGGTGTAAAGTGATTTTCTAAGCGTAGCTTAGATATGACACAAGGCCGAAAATATGGAGCATTACAAAGTGTCGAAGCGCTCAAAATCTAACAGTATAATGGTGTATAGATGAATGGAAAAATAATGAAACTCTATAAGATATGTTTCGTTCTTTAATAAGTCTTCAGAGAAAATAGTATTTTTATTGATAGAATAATATATGTAAAATTAACGAAATAAAAAAAAATCATCGGTTATGATTGTACATCGTGAAAAACGTTAAAGATGCAGGAATGTTAAACCTTACAAAGTATGGGACACTCAGTGAAGATCAAACTGTCTACTCAGTCTTATTGATTTAACGAGATAAGCTTGTCAACCATTACACCTCACTGGGGTGTAAAATCATTTGGTGAAAATCCCATGACATGTTTCGTTCTTTAACAAGTCTTCGGACAAAATAATATTTTTTAGTGATAGAATAATATATATAGAGAAGGGGGGACGAAATAAGAACTAACGTTAAAGATTCAGGAACGTTAAACCATACATTTATTTATTTTAAAAATGTTTTACTTAGGTCAACCTAGTCGACCTCACCCCGTTTCCTATCGTTTTTGTTTTAAAATATTCTACATTGTAATAATTATTTTTAAAGAAAATATGATATGAAAGTCGCCTCCTCTTGGACATACATCTACCGTGGAAGATTCCGAAATTAGTGCACTTTTTATAGATTTTCGTTTGAATAAATTAGTTTCTTTTCATTAAAAATGCATAATGTAAGTAGAAATTATAGCCAGACATATTATGATAACCATTAAGTGTGTTGCTTCGTAAAAGATCAAATTTTGTTTAAAATTTTGTTATAACATTTTTCTATGAATTCTTACTTTATATAAATATATATAATTAATTCAATTAAAAGAATATATAAATATTCTTTTAATTGAATTAATTATATACATTTATATAAAGTAAGAATTCATAGAAAAATTTTATTCATTGAAAATATTTTTTCTCATCCCTTATATATTTATTCTTGTTTTGCAGTGAGTCCTTTCTTAAAACATTCTTTATTCAAAAGTGTGGAAAATTTCATTGATGACTTCTTTAATTTATTCCTGATTGAAATAATAATCTTGTGCGTATGCAGGGGATCTGTTTTCTTGAGAAATGATCATAATGCCATTTTTTATGTGCGGGATGCGTAATGAGATAGAAATTGTAAAGCAGGTCTTAAACTCCGGCGTCCTTTCACTTTCACTTTCACTTTCACTTCACTACAAATCCCCATGACAAAGGTATGAATCAATCACTTTTTCCAGCTCTTGTTTAAATTGGTCCAAATTCCTCTCTCAGTTCTGTTGAACAGGAATAGAAGTTTTATCTCTTGTTTCCTGTTCAGCATTGTGCTTCTGATTCCTTCTAAAATGTTCTCATTCTCTTTCACTCCAAGTAACCATTGAAACTGATTATCATTATGATCTGGCTTGGGCTGAATTAGTTAGAGTTTAAGAAAAGGATACTTTGAATACAAAAATCAGCCCGAAGAGGAATGATAGATATGCCACTACAATATATATGTCACAGGGTGCGGCAGAAATACCTCTCACATTTTAAAATGTTACCCGTGTGGTGCCAGTGAATGTGAACAAGTCACTATGATCACAATGGGTTTTGAATGCCATTTTGTAAAAGGCAGCAAATTCTTGTCACTTAAGTAAGTACTACTTGAATATTGAATATTTTATTTCCAGCCGGTCTCTCTCTCTCTCTCTCTCTCTCTATATATATATATATATATATATATATATATATATATATATATATATATATATATATGTGTGTGTGTGTGTGTGTGCGTATGTGTGTGTGTATTGTTTATAAGTTATTTTTATAAGTAAATGCTCTGTTTTTTAATGAAAAATATTAATTACATTTACAGGTCTGAATGTTCGAGGAATTTCGTAGAAAATATGCATTCTCTGACAGGAATCGAACCTGTACCCCTTATGTCACCGAAAACTGTTACTTACCAGATTCACCCACGTCAAGTGTCACCATTTGTTGCTGATGGTGGAAAGGTAGAAATCAGAAAGCACCTGAAAAGTTGATTCGAAATACGTTCCTCCTCTCCGCTCTGCAAGATAAATGACTTGAGGAAAACCATGCTGCAGGTTAAAAAAATATTTATTTACAGAAACAAAATGCAACAAGGAGGTTAAGCGAATTTATTTACAGTTAATGTGAATGATGTAGGGTTAAGAGATAGATATAGAAAAAGTTCTTGATTTACTTATATGTATATATTTATATCTGGAGACCTTGTGGCACGATATCAGCTGCAGTTTTCTATTCGGCTAGTTCAGCACAAGTCTTCACCACTATAAGAACAGAGCAGCCGGTGGAAATGATAAAAGAGTTCGTTATCATTATGATTATATATAATTTAAAAGAATATAATGATATATATATATATATATATATATATATATATATATATATATATATATATATATATATATATATATATGTGTGTGTGTGTGTGTGTGTGTGTGTGTTTAAGCTGCAATCCTTCTCTCTTGGACATTACATTGAATACGGCAGACAAATTGATTTGATTTAGTTTTTCATACAATTTCTCGTGCGATGTAATTATTTTTTTCTTTTCGGATGATAAACTATATAAAAACTGTCCGAATGTTCTTTTTATCCGAGCGCTTTCGGCTATACATTTAGCCATTTTCAAGGATGAAATATTTTAACTGTTAAATAAGAAATAGTGTGATGCATATATGTTTTATAAAATGTTTCCATTTTTTCAAAACACGGGCATGATATTGTGTCCATATTCATAGCTAATATTATTAAGTGTTGTTTTGTTTTATTAATTCCATTATTTTTGGCCTTTTTTGGATGTAGATCATGCTATTTATTTGTGTTGTCAACAAGTATGTTACGAATAGTGTCCGATATGGCCTATATAATTATTTACGAATTTTGATTGATCAGGAATACAATTCCTTAATGGGCATTTAAATTCGTAAATAATATTTGCCCTATTTAATTTTGTTCTAGGAGGTGAATTATTATTTTTAACTGTAAGGTTAGAGGTTTTACATTTTTTGTAATAAATAATTAATCTCATTTTTTGCTATTGTCAACTGGTTTTGTGCATTTTTTATAATGTTCTTAATTCTACTTTCGTCTTGTTTTCGTTCATTTGATTTTTATAAAAAATATTAATATTATTGTTTCTCTCTCTCTCTCTCTCTCTCTCTATATATATATATATATATATATATATATAGAAAGAGTGAGAGATTTGTTTTTACGGTTTATCAACTTTTGCAGGTTATTTAAAGACAGAAAATATTTTTGGTAGATAGTAATGGATTACTGATAAAATTCTTACTAACTAACCCATAGCTGGGGGCAGGGCAGGCGGATCTATACCTTTTCCAAAGGTATTCGCACAAAATTGAATTAATGAATCCAGCTGGGAATGGAACTAGACTCTTCGATTTCCAATTCGGAACCGATATTTATTACACTACCCGCACATGCAAGTTTACAGCACACACTATTCTCAAACAAACAACCATCCAAATACTGACCAGACTCGACGTTGCTTAACTTTGATAATCGTAGGAGAACCGATGTTTCAACGTGATATGGTCGTAAGTCGAGTTAGATAGATAATGATAATGAGAGAGTGAGAGAGGTAAAAAGAAAGAAAGAGAGCGTAGTAGTAGTAGTAGTGCAATGAATAGGAAGAAGGGAATTTATGGTGAGAGAGACAGAGAGGGAGAGAGAGAGAGATAGAGAGAGAGAGAGAAATATTTTGCTGAAATATGGAAAATATATTTCCGCAGCGTTGACTCCATTATGGCTCTACTTGAACCAGTCGTAAATTTGAAAATCACAAGTTGAAAGCCATTTAAAAAAATATATATGCCATGAAATTGTTGTAAGGATAGAAAATTGCTCCCGAACAATCGATAGACACAACTGAAATCAAAATCATTAGATTCATATCGAGCAGCCTAAAATCTTCAGACAATCGCTCTGAAAATTATAAATAAAAACTCAATGTTTTGAGGCCATGTCTACTGCAATAAATACATAATAGGCGCCGTATTTCATTTTTGGTTTTGTTTTTATTTCATTTCATTGTGAATCCCTGAAAATTGTCGATCATGGCGCATTTATTCTTTTGCAGGCATTCCTTGCCCAGTGAAAATAATCATTAAAGTTGTTTGCTATGATAATGGGAGAAATATAAATGTTCTTCAAATGTATGTAGATATTTGATAAATTGGCCTTCATCTGACACAAGTTTATAGAAATTCGCTACCAGGCGGTCAGTCAATGTACCAACAATAATCTCGCATTACTAATTCGAAAATAATCAAATCATATATGCGAGTAGTCTGTCTGTTCGGTTCCAAGAACTGGCCAACCAGATTCTCATGGGCGAAGACAACGAGTGTCTATTATCTTTATCTTTATTATTATTATTATTATTATTATTATTATTATTATTAGCATTATCATTATCGTCATCATCATTGTATTTCGATTTTTGCTATGGTCACACTACCTACCAAGTTTGTGGTAAGACCTAAGACAAGTAGTAGTGTGTTGTTATGACTACATTATACGATTTGTTTTTTCTTCTTAACTTCCATAACATCACTAGTGGACAACGTTCTTTGTGCGTGAGTTGTACCTATCAGGACATATTTGTATTTCTCTTAAGCTGGGGTTTCCAGGGATTTTTTTTTCAATTTGTTGTTGTGTTCCTTTTTTATCATTCCAAGCGCATCTACTATGACTGGTACTGTTTATAGGTCTTTATACTTCGATAATGTTTTTCAAATTCCTTCGTTGCTATGTTGAAGACGTTTGGGCAAGCCATATCAATTAGTAGGGAAGATATTTCGGTTATTGGCAATTATGTCCAGCCTATTTCCTTCAATCTTCTTGTCTGTAAAGATGGTGTAATGCCATAAATTGTGAAGTCTTCTATTTCTGTAACCGGCGCTGGGTGATGTCCATCCCAGTGTTTGTCCAGTGTAAATATTGCCCCACTCTATCGTGACGATTTGTATAGCCATTTCACGCAAGTACAGAACATCCTGAGATTAGATGGTCTATGGATTCCTGATATTTTTAAGAGAACCTGCATTTTCCATCCATGCTATTATGTATGGTATCTGTCTGAAAGTTCCTCGTGAAAAGACTCTGGTCTTGCGCAGCAAACATAAAACCTTCCGTTTCAGCCTTTAATTCAAATATTCGTAACCATCGATGATTGCTAACTTTATCAACATCGGCTTTATTAGCCTCGTTCTGGATATTGGTCATGCAGAGGTTTATCTTACCAGCTTTATTTTTGGCTTTGCTTTTCAGATTTTTTGCTGCACCAGTTGTTTATTGGGCTCTGTTTTCGTTTTCTGCAGAATCTACTAAATGTAAATCTCATTTGTATTTCCAATCTTCTTTCATGATAGGATATTTTGATCTTTCTGTTTTGTTTGACTAATTGTATCACCCAGACCTTTGTTGTTTCAATGTATGTTAGTAAGCTAACAGTTGTTTTCTTGTATGACAATTCTAGGCGAATAAGACCTCTTCCACCTTCTTTACGGGTTATATATAGACCATCTGCATCAGTCTTTAGATGATGTATATTGTGCTTAGAAGCTTTCTTGTCTTAGAATTCGTCTGATGTGATTTAGAGTTCATCTCAAGATGTTGAAACTATATTGAACCACTGGGATGTCAAGGCTTTTAATAGCCAAAATCCTGTTCTGAGAATTCAGTTCAGTTCTTAATTCAGTTGAGACACCCTTCTATAGTATGCTTTTCGCACTATTTCTTTAATTATTTTTTTTTGTTAATTCATTCATCAGATTTACACAGAGATATTTATGAGCTATTTCTTGCAATAAATGTTTGATTGTAACCTCAGGACTTAAGCTAATAGAGGAGGTTATTGTAGTGATCCCCGTAAAACTGTGGCTTTAGCACATTTATCCAAACCAAATTCCATTCCAATTTCATCACTATTTTCAGGAGGCATTCCATCTCACTGTCATTCCTAGCATACCACTTCAAGTGATCCATGTAAAATAGAAGACTTATTTTCTTGTGAGATATCTTATAGCCATATTCCGTCATGCCAAATTCGTTGGTTAATGTTATTAGGGATATACAAAATATTAAGAGAGACAAATAGTCACTGCTGCGAATTTTACAAAGAAATAATAATGTTTACTATTTTTTAAGATAATAAGATTAAGTGAAACATCACGGGAATTTTGAAAAATATATAATATTTTACTTATTGATTAATTGAAAGAAAGTAGTGATATTATTTACCGGAGTATATTTAGAAAAAAAAAACAAAAAAAAAAAAAGGTTATGGTTTAACTTATTTGTCTGCATAAAACAACCAAACAAACACACACACACACACACACACACACACACACACACACACACACATATATATATATATATATATACATTCGTCCATTCATTCGTTCTTCCATCTGTATATTCAGTTAATTCTTTACTGAACTCGTCGAAAATACTTAATAGTAGTCTTTCTAAGGAATATATGAATAACACAGATAATAAAAATAGTTGATTAATCAATCAGGACCATTAAAAGTGAAACCGATAAATTAAATAATAATAATAATAATAAGCAGTATAATAATAATAATAATGAGAAGAAGAAGAAGAAGAAGAAGAAAAGGAAGTAGAAGAAAATGAATTCATATTTATGTCAAAATATTAGAGAAAATAACAAAATTTCATATTTACATTTTTAAAGAAAAACAAGTTAAATTCTCGTTGTAATTCCAACCGCGTTTCTTCTTCTTCTTCTTCTTCTTCTTCTTCTTCTTCTTCTTATTATTATTATTATTATTATTATTATCATCATTCGATTTCTGCTATGGACACACTACCTACCAAGTCTGCGGAAAGACCTAAGGCAGGTCGTGGTGTGTTGTTATGGCCACATTTCATTTTTTTTTTTTTTTTTTTTTTCCGAAGAAGTTGCTTTTAGACAAAGTTCTCCTTAGTGTGTGTGCTGTACTTAAAAAGACAATTTTCTGTATGTCTCTTAAGCTGGGGTTTCCAGGGATTCTTTCAATGTGTTGTTTTGTTCCATTTTTTTATCCTATTACCACTGGTATTATTCTTGTTTTTCAATTTCCACATTTTTTTCTATTTCAATTTCCAGGTCTTTGTATTTTGATAGTTTTTCAAATTCCTTGGTTGCTATATGTTACATCCGCTGGACAAAAGCCATATCAATTAGTAGGTTTTTTTTCTTTCTGGTTTTTGACAATAATGTCCGGCCTATTTGCTTCAATTTTTCTGTCTGTGTGGATGGTATAATCATAGAATGGTGACATCTTCTATTTCTTCGATGTTATTACACATTATGTCCATTATACTCTATCGTATTATTTAGGGGCAAGTATAGAACATCCTGAGATTAGATGGTCTATTATCACAGAACCTGCATTTTGGATTATTATTATGCCTGAAAATTCCTAGTGAAAAGACTCTGGTCAGTTTCAGATTATTATTATTATTATTATTATCATTATTATTATTATTAACATCCCTAACATCATTAATATCATCTTTATTATTATCGTTATTATTATCATCATTATCATCATTTTTATTATCATTATCATGATTAATATAATAATCGTTATTATTATCATTATTATTACCATCATTATCATCATCTTTATCAGGAGCAGCATCGTCCTCAGTATTAGCATTATTATTATCATCATTATCATTATGAATATCATTATTATTATCATAATCATTATTATTATCATCATCATTATTATTATCATCATCATTGTTATTACCATCATTATCGTCATCATCAGAAATTGCGTCAACATTATCATCATCATTAGCATATTCATCATCATTATTATCATCCTTATCATTATGACCATCATTATTATCATCATCATTATTATCATCATTATCATTTTTATAATTATCATCGTTTGCATCATGATTATAATTATTATCATTATCACCATCATTATTATTTTTAATATTATCTCCATCATCATTATTATTATCATTATCGTCATTATTATTATTAGTATTACTATTATTATTATCATCATCTTTCTTCTGTTACTTCTTTTTGATCGCACATATTCTGATGAGATGTTGATTAACTTGTTATATAACCGAGCAAATCGTTAGGCAATTAACCAAATGGTCGCTTATTTCTCCAGAGTTTCGAGACAAGTGGATTCATGTATTTCTCAAGCCAATGTCGACTGTTCCAGCCAGACTTTGAACTCCGATGACCGATTTTGTTTTACAGCCAGTCAACTCTTAGACCAGATGCACAAAGGCATTAACAGCTAATTTTGAATGAATACAGTACAGCGCCACACGGCTGAATTTAGGTATTTTTTTTAAAAAAAACGTCAATTCGTTCTTTTTCCTGTTAACTGTTTTTTTTTTTTATATATATATATATATATATATATATATGTATTGTCATAAAAAGCTATGATTCAAATACGGATTTTTCATTAAATCCAGGCATGGATAGTGGAACCAGACACTCATTTTGCACACTGTTTTGCGCATTTCCATGCGCATAAAACCGGTGTTAACTTCCCTGGGACATGTAAATTTACAAAAAAAAAATAAAATAAAATAAATAAAATAAAATAAAAAACATAAAAAATAATAAATAAATGAATAAATCAATAAAAATAAATAAATGTTTTTTGTTTTTGTTTTTACTGTGGAATGAATACGAAATGGTTAATGTTTGATTCTAAGAAAACAAGGAGCGTAAGAGGTTTGTTAGTTTTGTCCTTTCGTCTTTTAAATTTGGGGCTCAAATTTCCCGCTGTGGCAATGAAACGGAATGAATCAATTGACGTAAAAATACGGTTTTCAGATTTTGTTTTCACAGTCCTCATTTTTACATCCAGAAATAACAGAGATCGTTAATAATAATAATAATAATAATAATAATAAGAATAAGAATGTACAAATTTCTCTATTAGAGAGAATGACAAAGACGAAAAGATAAAAGAAATTGACAAGGAAAGGAAAGAATGGAGAGAGGCGGGAAAAAAGTTGAGAGATGAAAGTACGGGGGTGAAAATGGGAAATGAGAGAGAGAGAGAGAGAGAGAGAGAGAAAGAGAGAGAGAGATTGAGATGAAGGGAAGGCAGAGAGAAAGAAACAAAGCAAACAATGGAAAATTATCAAGACAAAAAGAGAAACACGTGCTGATTGAAAGAGAGAAGTGGAGAGAAAGAGAAAGAGAAGAAAATAAGAAATACAGAATGTAAGAGAAAAGGAGCTAGGAAAAGAGAGAGAGATTTATAAATAAGGAAAACTTGTAGCTTGAGAGAGACGCAAAGAGAGACACAGCGAGAGACACGGAGTGAGACACATGGAGAATGGGAGTACGATGACACAAGAAAACTGTTGTGAAAAAGAGACATGTACAAAGGAAAGAAGAAGCAAAAACTTTAACATAATTGTGGAAGAAGAAGACAAGGAAAGAAATATAGATAGTGAGGGGGGGGAAGAAAGGAGCGAATGTGTAAGAGAATTACTGGGAACAAGAAATACAAAATAACTGTATTACACATAGAGAGATAAGGTGGAGAGTAAGGACCAAAGAGATAAAAAGAGAAACAAGTAAACATAGGTGTGTGTATATTAGAGAGGAGTAAGAGAGATAGAGAGAGAGAGAGAGGGAGAGAGAGAGAGAGATTAAGAAAGAGAAAGTGAAATAAGAAATAAACAACAGGGAAATAAATAGAGGGGGAGGAAAGGGTAAATAAATGAAAAATGAGTGGAGAGTGAGAAGGAGAAAGAAAGAGAGCAGAGAAATGAGACAATGGATAGAAAGAGAGATAAAAAATAGAAAAGGAGAAAGCCAGGGAAAGAATAAAGAAGGTGAGAGTGGAAAGAAAGCGGAGAAATAAAGAAAGAAAGAAAGAAAGAAAGAAAGAAAGAAAGAAAAGAAAAGGACGCCTTGTGAGATAAGTATGAAGAATATATACAAATAGATATATAGAAATAAACAAGTAGAAAGAAAGAAAGAAAGAAAGAAAGAAAGAAAGAAAGAAAGAAAGAAAGAAAGAAAAACAGTAAAACAGGTCAAAGAAGAGTAAAATAAGAAATAAAAATTGAGAGTGATATATATAAAAAAACGAAAGAGAATGATAGGGAGAAAGCAAGAAAAAGAAACGGTGGGGGACAGAAATACATCCATGCACACATATATATATATATATACAGGGATAGAGAGAGAGAAAGAGAGAGAGAAAGAGAAAAGGCGTTAAGGTGTGAGAGATGGAGATGTAGAAAAAAGAGGGACAAGGATACAGAAAGAGGGATGAGGAGAGATGCTGCAAGAAATAAAGAGACCTGAAGAGAGATGACGAAAGAAAGAAAGAAAAAAAAAAAGAAAGAAAGAAAGAATGGACAGACAGATATGCCACTCAACGAATTAACCAAAAAAAAAAAACACACCGCCCATGTGATAAATTTTTATTCGGATGCGTGACTAGATTAGGCAAATTATTTTTTGTGCGGCAATTTTACACGAAGCGTTTTGGCCCTTGTGAACAAAACGCCGAAGAAAAAGCTGGCGAATAATTCCTTCAAATATTGACTTTCCTCAAAGTTTACTTTCGACCCCAAAGTCTGTTGTCAGAAAGTGTAGTTTAACGTTCGACGTTCGCATTGAGTTGTAATATAATCGTTTCAGTCGCTCCCAAACGTTGCACGTATCTGATACATTGCATTAAATTAAGCACACGGTCACATTAAAGGCGCATTCAGAAAAACAAATTTCAGTTCTATAGTTTCTCAATCTACAGGATGTTCCATAAGAAAACAAGATTTATATATAATGAAAAAAATAACATAAAAAAATTAAATTTAAATATTAAAATTAACTATATGTTTTAGTATATGAATAAACTAAAAAAATAACTTGTTTCTCTTAATGTAAGAACATCCAACTTGGTGACTGAAAAAATGTCAAGAAATTAAACTCTACCAGGTTTACTGTTTTTCCTTTATGTGGGGCACAAATAATGAGATTCTAAGTTAAGCTGGAACTCACTGAACAGAATAAGACAACTACCATTCGGGCCCGCTAACCCTCGAGAGATATTGAATTTCTTGATTGTTATAAAATAGAAACAGATTTTTCTAGTGAAAGATAAAATATACAAAGATATTCGTCTTGCATTTTGGTAAAGGTAGGATCTTGGCGAATCTCAAGAGTATGGCAATGCATCTTGTGGCTTTTTACCAATTTTCCAGAATTTATAAATTTTCATTTTCTCGTTTAGACCGATTCCGAAAACAGAGCAGTTTGACTTTACACTGCCAAACTTAATTAACTTCAAAAATACTAATTAACAAGTTTAACAATAACAAATTTTGTTTATGGTACTACAGGGTACCCCACAAAAAACAAAACAGGAAATTTTTGATTTGTCATATGATGAAAAAAAACCCAAACAAAACTAACATATAAAAAAATTAACTTTATTAGTTTGAACACCACGTCCAGAATTTGTGTTTTTGTTCTGTTTTAAGTGACTAAATTTCGATCCTTTGCTTTTGTTTCAAATATTTATAACAAAAATTACAACAATTAAATAAACGGTACAAAATTTTCTGTATTTTTTTTGTGTTTGTGGGGGAGGGCATCCTATATGATTAAGATCATGAATTCATAAACAAAAGGATTTAAAGAAGTCTACTCCGTTTAAGGAATTCTTGAGCTGGGAGGAAGCGGATGTCTGGTAGTTGCAGTTTTGGCTAAACAGCCCAGACTCACTTAACTATTTGAATGATGGCAACTGATCAAGGGAGATGAAAAAAACACCATAGAGACCAGGTCTTTAGGTGGAGAACATGTCTTTAGCTGATTGAACCATGACAGTCATCTGGCAGGGGAGAGTATCGGTCGACCAGCGATCTCTGCTCTTTCAGCGACCTCTGCTCTTTCAGCGACTGCTTTATTAGTTTGAAAAAATTAGCTAACATAATTTTTTTAACTATTTGTTCTAAGATATCGCAGTTATCAAATTTTCGACGCGAGGTGAATATTCTCTTTATAAAAGAACATTCAACTTTTGCACTGAAAAAATACCAAGAGATTTTATCAGAGTTCTTTTTAGTTTGAACACCCCCATCTAACATTTGTGTTTTTGTTCTGTTTTAAGCTAATAATTTCCATCATTTGCTTTTGTTTCAAATAACTGTAACAAAAATTCCAACAATTTAATAAACTGTACCATATTCCGAGAATCTATGATGAGAAGAATTTTGCCTTACGGGTAATATTAAACATTGCTTGATTGGCAAAGTTATTCAGTTCTTTTTTTTTAGTGTGAAAGTGAATGCAATAAACTAGACCAGAATTTTAACTCAGCTTATTGATTCCATTTTCTGGAGTGATATCTGTTACATTAACTGCACATCCATACTAATCTTTCCATTACAAACAAAAATTATACAAATAATTAAAGGTAAAAAAATAAAGAAAATAAAAGGATTAGTGAGCCTTGAATGATCATCAAAATTCTTCGTAGCTGAGTTGGTTAAAGCACATCAGATCTAATGACAGTTCCCTCTGCCAAGAGGTATGCAGATTCATATCCTGCCAGCGAACACATATTTTTTTTAAATGTTATTTTCAGTGGATATTAAAGATTTCTCAAATATTCAGGCTGATAGACAAAAATAAATAAATATACTGTTTAATAAAAAGAGCATCCACTGAAAATAATATTTAAGGTGATAAAATTTGTCGGAAAAATAAATTAAAAATATCCATTACTTCTTTAGAAATCGCTTTGTTTACAGTTAGATAGGAAACTGAACAGATATGAACTTTTGAGAATCTATGACGAGAATGATTTAGCTGAAAGGCACTATTCAGCCTTGCATGATTGGTACAGGATCTTTGTGGCTATGTCGTTATAAGACGGTTTGCTATGCATAAGTGACGCAGGTTCGAATCTTGTGAATGGCTCAATTTTTTTTTAATAAGATTTCTCGAATATTCAAGTAGGTAGACGAAAATAAATAAATATACTCTTTAATAAATATACGGTTTATTCTCCATATCTTTGTTGAGCTTATCATGAGAGTATGCCTGCTATAGCTTCTTGCTTAGTTTCAATCATCATTTCCGGGATAAGATGGGTTTACTATTACTTATTTTGTCCCCCCCCCACCTTTGTTTGACTTTATTGTCATCACATTACGGCTGCTGTAATCTCCGGTCTTCTTCCTTCCTGACTGGATTTCTGAAACAAGATCTTATTATATATTGGTTCTATCGAAACATTTTCCGCATATCTGTTATCATTGCCGGCTGTTATGCTCTCCGGGCTTTTTTGTCATTCCGACTTTCTATGTCAAGATCTTGTTACTATTATACATTGATTCATTGTGGTCATTTGTTACTCATCTTTGTTTTTACTTTCTGGGATGAGGAGTAATCATTATTTGCCTCATATAAATCCGGAATCATCTCTGTTGTTATTTCACCCGTTGTCCGCTCCCTCCTTTATCAGGTACTTGTCAAATTTCGAACTGAAAACTTTATTTATTCTACGGGGGTAGACTGTTCTCCTCCCGCTGATATGTCGTCTAGTTGTTATTCTTGGTAATGCTCGCTTATTGCTCACCCCGATCCCAATGAATTCAAGTACACAGTGCCCGCTCCAAATTAACAATTCTTATGTCACTAAACTCACCAACCAAAGCTTTAATCCACTAGGCTATTGTTCCGTGGAACAATCCTCAGTGGCGAACTTTAATCCACTGGGCTATTTTTCCGTGGGACAATCCTGAGTGGTGAACTTTAATCCACTAGATAATGTTCCGTGGGACAATCCTGAGTGGTGAACTTTAATCCACTGGGCTATTGTTCCGTGGGACAATCCTGAGTGGTGAACTTTAATCCACTGGGCTATTGTTCCGTGGGACAATCCCGAGTGGTGAACTTTAATCCACTGGGCTATTGTTCCGTGGGACAATCCCTGAGTGGTGAACTTTAATCCACTGGGCTATTGTTCCGTGGGACAATCCTGAGTGGTGAACTTTAATCCATGGGCTATTGTTCCGTGGGACAATCCTGAGTGGTGAACTTTAATCCACTGGGCTATTGTTCCGTGGGACAATCCTGAGTGGTGAACTTTAATCCACTGGGCTATTGTTCCGTGGGACAATCCTGAGTGGTGAACTTTAATCCACTGGGCTATTGTTCCGTGGGAATCCACTGGGCTATTGAGTAGGACAATCCTGAGTGGTGAACTTTAATTCACTGGGCTATTGTTCCGTGGGACAATCCTGAGTGGTGAACTTTAATCCACTGGTCTATTGTTCCGTGGGACAATCCTGAGTGGTGAACTTTAATCCACTGGGCTATTGTTCCGTGGGACAATCCTGAGTGGTGAACTTTAATCCACTGGGCTATTGTTCCGTGGGACAATCCTGAGTGGTGAACTTTAATCCACTGGGCTATTGTTCCGTGGGACAATCCTGAGTGGTGAACTTTAATCCACTGGGCTATTGTTCCGTGGGACAATCCTGAGTGGTGAACTTTAATCCACTGGGCTATTGTTCCGTGGGACAATCCTGAGTGGTGAACTTTAATCCACTAGGCTATTGTTCCGTGGGACAATCCTGAGTGGTGAACTTTAATCCACTAGGCTATTGTTCCGTGGGACAATCCTGAGTCGTGAACTTTAATCCACTGGGCTATTGTTCCGTGGGACAATCCTGAGTGGTGAACTTTAATCCACTGGGCTATTGTTCCGTGGGACAATCCTGAGTGGTGAACTTTAATCCACTGGGCTATTGTTCCTGTGGGACAATCCTGAGTGGTGAACTTTAATCCACTAGGCTATTGTTCCGTGGGACAATCCTGAGTGGTGAACTTTAATCCACTGGTCTATTGTTCCGTGGGACAATCCTGAGTGGTGAACTTTAATCCACTAGGCTATTGTTCCGTGGGACAATCCTGAGTGGTGAACTTTAATCCACTAGGCTATTGTTCCGTGGGACAATCCTGAGTCGTGAACTTTAATCCACTGGGCTATTGTTCCGTGGGACAATCCTGAGTGGTGAACTTTAATCCACTGGGCTATTGTTCCGTGGGACAATCCTGAGTGGTGAACTTTAATCCATCTTGGGCTGATTGTTCCGTGGGACAATCCATAGTGGTGAACTTTAATCCACTGGGCTATTGTTCTGTGGGACAATCCTGAGTGGTGAACTTTAATCCACTGGGCTATTGTTCTGTGGGACAATCCCGAGTGGTTTTAATCATTTGTATATTATTGTTCCGTGGGACAATCCTGAGTGGTGAACTTTAATCCACTAGGCTATTGTTCCGTGGGACAATCCTGAGTGGTGAACTTAATCCACTGGGCTATTGTTCCGTGGGACAATCCTGAGTGGTGAACTTTAATCCACTAGGCTATTGTTCCGTGGGACAATCTTGAGTGGTGAACTTTAATCCACTAGGGTATTGTTCCGTGGGACAATCCTGAGTGGTGAACTTGGAAACTTAAATTTAACCTTCCTACTGATGAGACTGCTGCAAACTTGACTGCACTCATAGAGGCTTCTGTTTTCTTCTTCTTCTGCTGCGGCCATCGCTGCTTCTGCTGATTTTTTTTTCATTTGTTGTTCTTATTGCAATATTACCGC